TTTTGTGAAAAGTGACAACATTGAAGGTTAACTTGAACATTGCATAGTGTTAATGGGAGAGTAGTATAGTTGGTAGCATCCTTATTGAATAACACTTCAAGATAGGGTCTTTTTTTTTCTTTATTTTATTGATCAGAATGAAGAGAGATGGTAAAAACCTAATATCCTTATTTTTTATTTTCATACATGAACGCAGAAGCTGCAGTTCTGTGGTTCATTTGTTTGTTCTCATTTAAGTTTGCATTATTCTTGCAGCACTTTCAGAAACCATAGCAAAGTTTGGCAGTTAGGCAGATGTTTACCTGGAAATCATGTGTTTTTAGTGAAAGATATACATATAGGCAGTGCTATGTCTAGTTTGAAAGTAGACCTTCTTCAGAAGTGCTTGATGTCACTTAGTCCAATAAAGAATGTTTTTTAAAAGGGCAGGCTCTGCTTGGGGTATCTATTACATGAAAACTTTTTTTTTTTTTTTTTTTTTTTTTTTACAATGAAGTTCACACAGTTAAAGTTGGCATGTTATGAATGCTCAACTTCACTGAAACTAAAAGAAATAGATCCTTCAACAGCTTTTAAGTAGTCTTGCATACCTGTGAGCATTGTCAACGTTCATTTGTAATAGAGATGAAAATCTCTAAGTTCAGCTTCAATGAAGATGGAAATTATTAAAATGAAAACCTTTGGATGTCATGATTAATGGCATCAAGTACCTATTACTGTGAAATCTTCAGTTACCATTATAAGATGAGCTGATACATTAGCATCAGGACAATGAAATACCAGCTTTTGAAATTCTGGAGTTTAAGGTTTGTTTAAGGCATACCCCAAGGGAATAATAATATGGTTTTCTTTCATTGCCTTGCTTACTGTTCTAAAATATTTGTTGTTATTGTTATTATTGTTTTCAGAGAGGATAGTTGAATTCATTTAACTTTCAACAGACTATATGTTTGATTTTTTATATTGGTAAAGTGGATTTTTCTATGCCACTGCAGTGTTATCAAGGAGGGGAGGTGGATCTCTTTGGCAGAATCATAATTTACCCTGTTAACCCGTTGCCCCTGAGGGGCACGTACGTACATGCCATGGCTGTTGTGGACTGAACGCTGGGGGCATCATGTCATGCCCATTCCTGCACTACTGGCTCGTCAGATGGAGGTTGTTTTTCTCCGATAGTAGCGGCTTCATTTATGTGGTAAAGATTTTAGGCAATGAAGTTAAACCTTCAAAATTTTAATATATTTATAAATTTTAGCAAAATAAAAGCTTTTAGGTGCTAAATGTCGCTCGCAAACTAACGATCGAGCCGAGCGCAAATAGGGGAAAAGCGCCGAACTTGCTGATGTGGCCAACCAACAACCTGTGTGCATACGTCCACTTGCCAAAATTTTTACCCGTCGGCGATGGGTTAACTGTCTGCGCTGGGATAGAGTGATGTACATGCCATATCCACTGATTTTAACCCAATAATGCTGAGTTAAAAAATGAGAAAAGTTGACATGATTGCAGACTTGTTGGCATGTATTGACAGAGTCCCTGGCTTGTTTGGCAGTTTGCGGGCAACATTGGGCACCTAAAAGCTTATGGTTTGATACAGTTTTTAAAAGTATCAAATTTTTAAAGGTTTACCTTCAATTTAATTGCTAGTGGCCAAAAGTTTTACCACAGAAATGATGCTTCTACTATTGGCAAAAAACAAGGACCATCCCATGAGCCAACAGTTAGGAAGGGTCTTGTATAATGCCACCCATTACCTTGTCCATAATGGGCATGGCATGTATGTACATGCCACCCAGCAGGAAGTGATTAATTTATTGATTTTATTTACACATTGATGGCTCCACAAATATTTAGTCTCCAAGGTATATTTACTAGTTGCACCCATCTCACCTGTTTACAGGCTTCCCAGATTTTTTAGATTAGTTTTTTTATTGCTTATTGTATTTGAATTTATGATGATGATCATAATGTAAATGATTGCAACAGTATCAATTTTCTAAACATTAGAATTAACCCCCCTGGATCTGGTTCCAATGGTTACGTAAGTGGCCAGCATCCCAGGCATGTGGTGCGTAGGCCGGGCGCACACAAACACCCATGAGCGCTGACAAGACTGTGCCTGCCCTTTGCAAAGTTGTTGTGTGAAATCTTTTTTAGATTTATCGCCATTTTCCAATGTCCATATTTGTCTTTTGATTTGCTTTATCCAGATGATAATTACTTCTTTTCCTTGCACACTTCATATCATCTCTCTATGCAGTAAATAGCTCAGTGCAAGAAAAAAAAAAATGGAACATTTGGTTATTTGTGTCATATATCTAATTTTTTGGTAATTTTCAATTTTACGTAATACAACCTGCGCTGCTGGTCACAGCGGCCAGGAATACGGTGTGCAGCATGGAAATGGCATCCTCCCTGGAGCCAGCGCTCTTCTAGTCACTGCTTATGCACGTTACATTCCACATTCATTTATTGATGGGAATAATATTAAAGCCCCCTTCTAAGCGCCAAATGAGTCATTTCACACTCGAAGAGGTTTGTGCACTCGTGGCGAGTCTTTTCTGTCACCCTGGCCTTTGCGCTTGACGCTTTGTTCATGTCATTCGTATAGCTGTCCTAAGTTTTTCCTTGACTTGATTGCAACAAACTAAACAGAACAGGATGGGAATATTACAAGAGTATTTTCAGATGGGTAATTCTTGGGAATAACTGTGCTCTATAGTATATTCACGTTCTTTGTTTCTTGTTTCTGTGAAATAATCCAGTGGTGACTTGGAGGGGAACCATATAATTCTTCAGAAAATTTGTTGGTGAACTTGATGCTTCTAACCCTGAAAGGATGGGAAAGTTCAGTAGTTTGTGTTGAAAAAGTGTTAAATAAAGTTAGCAGCAAAAAGATCATTTGCTGTGATGAACAGGAACACAAATACTATAATAGATACATAGAGATAAAACGAAATCCAGCCACAGTAGAAATGGAATAAGAATTTGATTGTTTGAATATATAAAGGTTCCTTATTAGATGTAGTAAAAGCTTTTTTTTCTTTCTTTCTTTCTTTCTTTCTTTTTTTTTTTTTTTTTTTTTTTACTAAATGTGGTGAATTAAAAATCTTTTTCTTTATATATTATTGTGTATAGCCTAAAATTCTGTGCCAAATCCTGGGTGGTAAGTTGGTCTCTTCAAATGCTGGATAGTGTATGTGGGCAAGCAACTGCCACTGCAGGCAGTATTATAGTACTAATACAAAAGTTTTTCTAATTGGTATACATACTTAACACAACAATGTCACTGACCTCTCTTACTTCTGCAAAAGGTTGAATGGTAATTTTATTTTATTTAGATTTGGGTTGTGAAGATAAATTGAGTAAAAGTTTGTTTCTTATAAGACTAACCTTATTTGATAGATAAAATAGTGAAATTATAGATGTCTTTATATTCCAGAATAGATGAGCTAAATTGAGTTCTCGAATGGTCAGGGCTTCTTGGATCATTTCCCGTCGACTACATATGTTTGATTATTCTAACAGCAGAATTCAGAACTGGCTGTTCTCTTGCCGGCCAAATAGATAGTAGAATTACAAATGAACCTTGTTGATTTGTCACTCTTGTTGAAGTATCCTGATATTAGAACATAATTACATTGATTGTTTAATATGAGGTCCCTGGTGGCAGAAAGGCAAAGTTGCCAAAATGAAAAGTGTTATCATTTGGCTGACAAAACTTCTCACCCTCTTTTTCTGAATCTGAAGTTTCGTTAACATGAGCATGTATGGGATATCTCGAAAACTATATTTGTATTTCAGAGATTGCCCCACAATCACTAGGTGCCTCATATTTACTTTTAGTTATTTTATGTATGCCAGAAGATCTTGACTTGGTTTTACTAGAGTTTTCAAGTTTTATTGCTTGATGGTTCAGTCTGTATAATTTTTTTTTAGTTTAACAGAATAGAAATATATAAAAAATATTATATTCCAGAGGTGTCCGTGAATTACATTTTATACCAGCTCCTGTAAGTGGGTAATCATTAATCAAAGATGATGTTCTATCACCTCGATGTGCAGGTGTGTTTCAGAGTATGTAAATTATGATTTTTAGATTGCTGTTTTCCTTTTAACATATTTTGTTGCAAAATATGTGGAAATATGTATATCCTTCTTCAGCGCTGTCTCTTCTCTCTCTCTCTCTCTCTCTCTCTCTCTCTCTCTCTCTCTCTTTCTCTCTCTCTCTCTCTTTCTCTCTCTCTCTCTCTCTTTCTCTCTCTCTCTCTCTCTTCTCTCTCTCTCTCTCTCTCTCTCTCTCTCTCTCTCTCTCTCTCTCTCTCTCTCTCTCTCTCTCTCTCTCTCTCTCTCTCTCTCTCTCTCTCTCTCTCTCTCTCTCTCTCTCTCTCTCTCTTCTCTCTCTCCTTCTCTCTCTCCTTCTCTCTCTCCCCTCTCCCCTCTTCCCCCTCCCCTTCTCTCCCCTCCCCCTCTCTTCCCCTCCCCTTCCCTCCACTCCACTCCCTTCCCCTCCACTCCACTCCCTTCCCTTCCCTCCCCTCCCCTCCACTCCACTCCCTTCCCCTCCACTCCACTCCACTCCCTCCCTCCACTCCACTCCACTCCACCTCCACTCCATCCACTCCATATATATACAATTTTTTTCAGCATTTGTGAACAGAATTTATGTATATATGACATTTGTATGATTATAAGAACAGATGAAAGTTTATTTTAACATTACTGTAAAAAAATTTCCTTTGGTTTGTCTTTCAGTGCTGCCCTTGTTTATTTGCATGAAAGTTTTGTGTTATAAAATCACATTTCCTATACTTGGTCTTACATTGATTACTCTTTGAGTGAGAGATATCAAAACAGAAATGAAGGAATTTTCCATAATTATAATGATATTAATTTTCCTTTGTTCTGACTTCTACTTCTATTTTTTATTTATTTATTTATTTTTTTCTTCTTCTTCTTCATAATTCAAATAATATTTACTTTTCTTTGTTCTGAATCAGGTGTTCCGTCAACGCACCCCAGAAGACGCTATAAACCTGGTGTCACGACTGCTGGAATACACACCATCTGCGCGCATCACGCCACTACAGGCCTGTGCGCACAAATTCTTTGACGAACTCAGGGATCCAAACACCAGACTACCCAACAATCGGGAGTTACCACCCCTCTTCAATTTTACCGAACATGGTAATTATGGATGAATTTGTATTCTTTGGGTGTGCCCGATGTTGCGGCACAGTTTGTGTACTATGAGGGCAAATGTTCCATGAGGGTAAGTTTTGCGTCTAATATGTAGGATGCTGCAGGTCACCGTATGTCTCAATATGTAGGATGCTATAGAATACACCTGGTTTATGTAGTTAAGGAGTAGTTTCATTGGTAATTTTCAGTGCCATTTAGTTTGAAGGAGGATCTGTAACCTACTTTGGCAGCAGTTCTTTTCTAAGGTTTGAAACTGTATTTAGTAAAGGTTGGTTTGCTTGTGATCCTATTTTTATACGTATGTGTTCTGATGATTGATAATTCTTTAGGGATTGTGAATTTGTTTTTTTCATTCATTTCTTGATGTTGATATTTTCCTTATATTTTGATGTATTTTTATTTATATCGATACATACGTGTGTGTTTGTGTGTGCGTGCGTGCGTGCGTGCGTGCGTGCGTGCGTGCGTGTGTGTGTGTGTGTGCGTGTGTGTGTGTGTGTGTGTGTGTGTGTGTGTGTGTGTGTGTGTGTGTTGTGTGTGTGTGTGTGTGTGTGTGTGTGTGTGTGTGTGTGTGTGTGTGCGCGCGCGCTTGTGCGCACACTTGGTTGTTTTCCCAACTATGAGAGAACACAAATACTGAAAGTAGGACAGGAGCTACTTATTAATGTTAAAACTTGTTTCCAAATTTTCAGAAATCAAGATCCAGCCAGAGCTGAACAACAAATTGATTCCCTCTCACTATCGAGGTGAACCGGCAAACAGCAGCAGTGGTGGTGGCTCATCTGCCGTTGACTCTTCTGAGGGTGCTGCAGCTGCTGCTGTAAATGATAATTGAGATGGATGGTGGCCAGCCCAGTCAGCCTCTACTGCAGCCTCCACACCAGCCTTCCTGCCCCCTTGTGCCTGCATCCAGCAATATCTGGACCCAGCTGTGTACAGAGCTCCAGTTTTGGGATAAAGCTTGGCCAAGGGGGCTGTGGAGGCCAGTCTTCTTGGGCAGATAGCTGTACTTTATGTATGGCTGTAATCATGTGGCCCTCATAATGTGTAAAGTGTACATACATTGAACATTACTAGTGAATGACTCTCCCAGGCTTGAGGCACCCAGCAGCCACACCATTTGCTTGTTATTGCATACACTGTTGTGCCAGTGTGGCCCAGCCCAGGTGTCCTTGATCTGTTGGTAGGAGCTTGGTGCTGACGGTAACCTTCTGATTGCCCAGCCCACTGCATGGTGGTCATCGTGACCTCAGGGTCATGGAGCACCCAGCTCCTCGCACACCAGTGGAGCCAGCCTCTGATGCATTGTATTTGTCTTGGACTATCATAGTTAGGTCCATGATGTCTGCACCAAGTTTTGTAGGCCACTGTTGCATGGGAGTTTGTATGCTGTGATGAGGTGTATAGTATGACCAACAGCAATGTGCTCCCTCTTGATATTGTGCTGCCTCCCACCTCCCCTGCTGTCCCCTTGCCTTTTCACCTGCAGCAGCTAGTTCACCCCAAGCCAGTGCTAGTGATGAGTTGTGAGTTGTTGGTGTGTCACACTGAGTTAGTGCCAATGTTACTTGTAGTGTCACCTCCGTTGGCCCACCCTGGGCTCACTTTGTTCCTGCTCTTCTGCCAGGGACACCAGCTTCCCTTACAGCCTCAGTGTCTCTGGAATTGCTAAAAAAAAAAAAAAATCAGCTAATTGTATAATAAGAGGCCAGCATAGGCTTCACTGGCCCCTTAGACAGCACGTACACCACCACTATACCATCACCGGTAGAAGGCGAGGACTCCTCTCGTCACTGTATCCTGTGATCTGAAGCCAGTGTGATGTGGATCCGTAACTCAGATCCACGTCTGTCATGGCAAGGGTTGTGCTGGCCATGGCAGAATAGGCTAGGACTGGACGACATGCTTGTATTGCTTGCATGGAAGTCATCACGATGAGGTATATCGCACACCCCCTCTGAACAAGCTGATGAACTTATGGGAATGGCAAGCAGCCTTTTGCTTGTCTTGTGTTTTAATGTTGGAATTATTATTCTGTATATAGTGTTCATTTTCACTTTTGCCATCACAAGTACAATTCATACATAGACAGTTCTTCAGGTGGTCTGTGCAGACAACCAGGTCCCTTGGCCATCTTGTAGTTCATCACAAACTATTTGAATGGGAGCTACTGTTCAACAAATCTTGTGTGATCCTCTGTACTCTTCAGTCGCTGGTGGAGCGGTGTCAGGTGTATTAATAGTTTTTCCCCCCTCACCCTTCCAATTAACCATAAAGTGTAAGTTATCAAACAGTAAGATATTACTAGTTACACCGATGGTTCTGCCCTGTACCATCCAATCAGTGACACCTGCAAGAAAGGAATGCCATTCAGTGATTACCTGCTTTTCATGGGTGGAATACAGTGAGGTTCACTTTTGATATACAGACCATTAGAGAAGAATGAGCCTTATTGCATTGCTGACCCAAGCTTGTAATTACTATGTAAAGCATTTGCTCATGTCTTTTTTTTTTTTCTTTTTTTTTTTAATTCTTTTTTTTTCTCAGATATGATGTGATAATCTGAAGTAGGGTGGTTGCTGTTGTTGTTTTTTCTTCATTTACTTTCTTCTTTCTTTCTATCTTTTTTTTTGTATTTTTTTTTTTTTTTTTTTTCTTAGCATGGAAGATAACATAGTTTTGTATTAATTGATGATTGGTACTGCAATATCAAGTCCAAGAGTTTATAAAACCTTATGTCATGTAAGAAATTATCCATTATGTGGACTTTACCAGCAGTTTGAGCTTTAAACAATACATGAGGATCTTCTGTGTGTAAAGCAAATAGGAATAACAGCCTTATTTTAATTAAATCAAAAGTTCATTACATGATACTTACAAGAAACCTCTCTGCAACCAGGGATCCCAAAAATCCTAATTGGATTTCCTTTATCACTGATAACGTAATTGGGAGGACTGGATCCAGGAGACGTGATTTGGAATAGGAAATTGGATTTGATGTGGAAAGACTGATTTTTATTTAGCTGTCTTTATTTTAGGGGGGGAAATCACTGTCTAGTTACAAGTGGTACAAGAATAGAGGAATGCGATGGAAAATCTACCTTATTTTGAGCACTGTAAATATCACATGGGAATCGGAACTTTATTGGACGTAAATTAGGTTCAGTTTTTTAACAGAGTTCTTTTGAATATTTATTTACACCAAAATAGGTTTTGGATTCTTTTCTTTTTCCTTTTTTGATTTCTGTAAAATAATCTCCTGAATATGGTCCTTCCCTTGACAACTCAAAAAAATGAAAAGAAAAGAAGAGGTTTGTCCAATCCATGTTGTAGGGCATTGAGACTTATTCAGAAAACAAAAAAATAATATCAGAATGTTAGGGTCCTAGGGCAAGTGAAACAGGATGGGCTAATACATATATACATACATACATCTCATTGCCAAGTTTTTTCTGCTACTCATCCAGGGCACGAAATAATTTCCTTTCAAACCTTGTAGTAAAAAAAAAATAATAAAATAAAATAAAAAAAAGATATGATAAGTTCAGCATGAAAGAGCCTATTTGGGGTTTTCAGTGATTTTACATTCTATTTCACCCTATAAAATACAGTTTTTTCTTGGACTCCCCATGATAAGGCATGCTGAACAAGTCGGTATATACAGAACTGGGCGTTTCTGGGTATTGCTGCAAGAAAATCTCAATGTCATCTTTGATTTGTGGCTTGTTCACTCAATAGAATGAAACACAATTTGTGCAGAAGAAATATATATAGACTGCAACATTTAGTGATAGAGGTAGACACTATTGCTGGGAGGGGACATGTAAAGATCAGGTGTGTGTGTGATTGTGCAGTGGGTTGTCATAAAGGTATGATTATTGATGGAGAAAAAAAAATATGATGTTTTACTCTATTGGGTGTTGGAAATTTGTTGTGCTAAGGATGTATAAAAGTTTTGAAGTATTTACTAATCCCAAAGTTCCCCTTATGAATTTGTAAAGACTGTGCGAGGATACCAGGGTAAGTTTAGCTTATAATACCTCATGTACAGATTAAAAAAGTGAAGAGCAGCAAGGGTTTAGTTCATGATATTTGATGTATTGGTAGATAATGTTTATGCAGAACAGATCTGACAACCCAGGCACCACAATAAGGAGATGTTACCAGTTGACAGATGAGTTTTGCCGTTGATAGGTGACTTAATGGTTTTATTATTTGTTTACATGATAAGGAGTATATCAGTTGACCTGAGAGTTGAAGTGCTCAACTGTCTGTCAATGGTGTGACACTTGGCCGTGACACTGCTCAAGAGAACACGCTCTGAGAGGAAACCGTTAATATAGAAATTCATAGAACTATTTTGTAAGTCTTCTGTCAAGTCTTTGAAGGTATCTATCTATCCCCCCCCCCCAAGGTTAAGAATAGACATTGCTCAAGTTTCTCATGTTCGTGTATTTATTATTACTGCTGGGGAAGTTTGTAGAAGTTGTGGATTATTATTTTTTTATTTCCTTATTGATAGCCCATGCAACCCGAATTGTGTGCGCTTGCTGGTATTTAATGGTAAATTTTATATCTAGCAACCCAACAAAGGAGTCAATGCTCTTAGATGGAAAAAAATTCTTCTTTTGTTGTACAAGCAGTTATGTTACTGAACCTGGTTAAGAAAAATAACAACCATATGCGTAGATCTTTGCCGGGAAAGGTCATTATCGGTGCATCTTGCCCCCAGTAACCCCTGTGCTGTAGTTGTTACCTATATTGATCAACCATGGAAGCGCTGTCTACATGAGCAGCGTTACGGCCTACTTTTTGAGAGGGAATCCTATCCTGAGTCCACCACACCTTAGCCAATAATATTTGTAATTACCCTAATGTAAAAATGTACTCTAATGCTTAAAGTGTGCTTTTAAATTAATGTAGATGCAACTGTTCTTGTTCTTATGTTTTTCTTAATGAATGTACTTTTAAATGACAACATGTAGTACATGTACTAAGTTTATAGTATAATTGTTTTAATAAAGAGCAGTTGTATTACTGTCATTATTTGTATTTGTTTTATCATCACGCTGCAGCCTTTTATTCTTAATGGAAGGAGGAAATCGGAGTTTCAGTTGTCCCTCGTTTCCTAGGTTGCGCCTCGCTCTTTTTGTCTCCAAAGAGCGGTCGTATTCTGACCCCTTTTCCTTTTCTATGATATAATCTCCTTAGAAGTTTACCCAGAGAGACCCTAGGGACTTTGAGATTCTAGCAACGGGGATGGTGTTACAGGGAAATGGGACAGATATTTATTTGTGTGTTTGCTTCAGGTGTGAGATGACAAGCAGTGGAATATAGGGTTTAGTTATGTCCACATCAATGTATAGCCATCGCAGTGTAGAAAGAAACTATTATCAAGTTTCCAATACTTGTCACTAGATTATATGATTAAAGTAAACTTTTATCCAAGATGGGACGTAGTGGCATTTATTCACAATCCCCAAAAGCTGTACAAAGGCTTGTATGAAGTCTTTTCTTGAAAAAAAAGAGAAATAAAAATAAAAATTGATACATAAACCTGCAAATATTGAAAGCCAAGAAAAGGAAAATTTCTTCTGTTCTCTGAAAAATTTTCTTCAAAATTGAGTACATAAAGCTCTGACTGATGGTGGAAAATGTATTGACTGCCTAAAGTCTTTCCAATATTATAATGTATATATAGCTTGTTGTTATGTATTTGTGCCGATGGAAGGAAAAAGGCAATTAAAATGGAGTAGAAAACCATGACATGTATGCTGCATATTGTTGATAAATGTTGATCCAAATTAAAAAATATATGAACAACTTTAGTGCCACAGCACTAATCACTATGAAACATTAAAAAAAAAAAATCATTTCCCAAGACATACTGATGAAAGAAATTCAAATTATCAGTTTTGAGTTATGTTCTAATACGGATTTCATGAAAAATCCATCAATAATTGATTGATGTCAATATAACCTGTCAATAAAGTAGTACCTAACTTATGCCAAAAGCAAAAACATGTATTTGATTTAAGAGTGTTAAACATTTCTGTTCTAGAAAAGAAAAAGCAGCACTCTTCATGTATTGCATCGAAACTTCAAAATGTATATTTGCTGGCAAAATCAGATGCAATACATACAAATTAAAAAAAAAAGTAATGAATGCATGCATGCTTACATATATACCTATGTATACATGCTATATTTCATGTACAAGTATACATACATGCACACATTCTCTCCCTCACATATCATATACTCCCCCTCCCTCCCAATCCCTTGCCTGTTGTCGTGGGGGCTTGGGAGACGGAGACAGACACAATGCAGGGATCTCCCCTGCCTATGGCCTCAGCCCTCGACTCAACTAATTTTGCATGGCCTTTTCTCCCTCCAGCTTTGTTTCCGTCCCTTCTCCAACCCTTTCTTCTATCTACTTCCAAAGGTATAAGTGCAGTGCTGAAAGGATGAAAGGCTGACCTTGTGCCAGTCCTGAACGGCCTGCGGGAACAATGGGCACGGTATTCCCCTGATTTAGTTGTCTAGCCCTTACCTCCTAAAGGGGCACTTGAAGGGGTGAACTGTTTATTTCCCCTACATAATCAAGGCTTCCCATGACCAGTAATGAAGTAATACCCATATTAGGGGCAATGGGGCTTGCCCCTTCATCAAATAGCCCCACCAATTCAGACTCTACCGGCTCCCCGAGCCCAGTCTCTCCTTTGACCACGACTCTGAACACTGAAACTACTACCCACTCCTCAATGCCAACTAGTGGATTACCCACCCAAGCCGAGCCTCAATCTCCAAAAGACATTCCTACTCTTCCAACTTCCTCAACTTCCTCACCTTTATCCCTACAACCTTCTTCATCAAACAACCTCCCATATTACTACCTTACAGCCTTATTCTCCATCTCTCCGGCATAATGCCCCCTTCAACAACACCCTCTTCCACACGTCTCCGTCCTTGTACCACCACCAACCCTACAAATATATTACTCTATTTAGCCCAGTTAAATGGGACCGATTTTTCATGATCCCCCTGCAGCTCCTTACTCAGGCAACACTTCTCTTTCAACAATTCCTCCAAAAACAAGTGGGCAGAGTCCCTTTCCATACCAGACGTCTCTTAACAGTCAGATCTGAAAGTGAAGCTATAGCATTATCAAATCCAACTGATCACTCTGGCAATCCCATTCCTGCAGAACCTCATCTAACTGTTAATAATTGTACCGGAACTGTCTCTATCTCCCCAGCAAACTGCCCAGTCGATACCAAAGACTGGTCAGACTATGGAGAAGACTTACTCGAATGCCTCAAAGACCAAGACGTGAGATCGGTACATTGCTACTCCATTCCTCCCAGAGATCGAAAGAAACCCACCAACATTCCCAAAATTACTTTCAGTACACATGACCTTCCCATTCTTATCTACATTGGTGGACAATCCCTCCCTGTTCGACCATACCAACCTCCTCCCCGTCAATGTAAAAACTGTTGGCGATTTGGAATTCCTGATATGCACATGTGCGAACTGCGGCGGTCCCCATAATGTATTTTATAGAGGCTGTCCCACTTACAAGCCCGAGACTGAGATAGCAACTCAGATACAAAAATGGTCTCACTCTATACGTGAGACAGGAAGCACGCCAACAAGGTTTCTCTTATACTCACTGCTCTAGTAATGTTACGCGCTCTGCCCCTCCCCTTCCACCTCAATATATTCCTACACTCTCCCCTATACCTACTTACTTCCCCACTTCCACTTCTACATTCTACCTCCCCCAGTCAAATTCTTTTGCTACCCTAAACCCAGACACTCCAATCTCAACTACAACCCCAACACCGTCCCCTCTCTCTCCCCACATTACCCGCAGCAGACAGACTAAACGTTCCCCACCCTTCTTCCCCTACTACACACTCACCTACACCTACCTTTGCCTTTTTCCTCAG